TATAAATTAAACACGTAAAATATAATAATAATGTCATAAATTAAAATTACATACTTGTTGTAAATAGCACCGTTCTAATAAACCATGCTCTTCGTGTTTCTTATAAATGCTTACGATTCGATTAGGTTTTTCAGGATGCGTGTTATTAACGGCATCGCAATGTTTCAACATTCTGTTGTCATATACAATGCATACTTTGTTAGGTGCTTTGAATAAATTTGTAGCTATAAAAATTGTTCTTTTTATTTATTTTGTTGGAAATATAAAATAAATATTATTATAAAAAAGTACTTACATTTTATCAATGAATCTAATCTCTTATCTAATGCTTCAAAAATGTCTTTATTTTGAATAGGATAACAATTCCGTGTGTCGTAAAAATCTGGTTTATACACTTCTCCGCTACATAAATATACAATAAGTGATAATAACATTTTTCTTTACAAATATACATTATCAAATACACATATGAAATGCAAATATACATATCAGGACTTTTTAAACTTTTCTATTTATGTTAGTCGATCCCCTTTACATAAGTAAACATTTTTGCAACCCTGAGCATAATAGAATTTATACTACCTTCTTTACATGCTATAAAGGCAGTATTACCAATTGGCTTTTAAATTAATGTACAAGAAAATCTTTTTGTCTTCTTCAAATGTCCCACATTTGAAAAAGCCCTGATCGATCTACATTATATAAATATTATTATACAATATTACTTACGTGTAATTAACAATGGGCAAATGTTGATCATTATTTCCTTCTTTTCTGACAATTCTGTTATTAATACTATATTGTTCTTGATATTGATAACACTTCCAATATTGTTTGTGGGCATAGATGCTATTTAAAATTGTGTCACGTACACTAAAAATACATTTAACATATATGTATAGTAACTATATTGATAAATCTTTTCTTTTGTTATATTATATTACCTTAATGACGGTGATTGCAATGTTTGCAACATAGGACATGGATCGCCTAGTAATGTTCGCAGAGTTAATGCAGCGCTTTCAGCCAATGACTTTAGACAATAACCACCCTGCAGATACGAATACATTGATTATTAGATTATTCATATAAATTACATAAATAATTAATGAAACATACCTCCAATATAATCGCTATCTTCCCCCCTGCTAAACTCAATAGGGACGACAATAGATGAGCGTAACATGCAGGTGTTATCTCCATTTCACCCTTTACATTATTAAAAATACATACATGTATACATATTTGAATTTTTATTCTATCGATAATGTTTAAGTAAAATTATGTATGAATAAAAATTGATAACAAAAACCTAGGAGAAAATAATATATAAAAGTCACATTTCTCAACTTTTTCATCTCCAAATGCAGAATCAAATCCAGCAGAAACAATAATAAGATCTGACTGAAACTAGAATAAGAAAAATATGAAATATTAGTAAATATAAATTCTATTATTTTACCTCTGGGCATCCCAATGCTGCATCATAACCAGCTGATACTATTATGAGATCTGGTTGAAACTATAATTATTATTATATTAGTTTTATGTTATGTTTTGTCAATATTTAATACTAGATGCATCAATCCATTGTGTAATGTAATAAAATAATTTTACAAGTACTTTATTTATTCTTTTTTATATGTAAGGTAATTAAATTAATATTTAAATTATTTTTATAAGTAAATTAATTTATGCTATTTTTTTACCTCGTAAGCCATTGGTAACAAAACTTGTTGAAATATTGCAATATAATCAGCATTTGTCATGCCAGTTTTGTTAAGTGGTATATTAAAATTGTAACCTTCTCCCAAGCCTTCGCCGATGTAATGAAAATCAGATTCTTCTAAATTAGGCCAGAATGTTCCATTTTCATAACGATGTATTGAAAAATAAACTACACTGTATATATACAAATAAAAGATACAAAATAAAATGAATAATTAGATAATATCATCATAGAACTGATAATTATTTATTAATTGAAATAGTACCGTGAATCATCGTAAAACATTTGTTGAGTTGCTTGTCCATGATGTACGTCCCAATCAACGATAAGAATTTTGTTAGCTAAATTATCATTTAAAGCTTTTTTTGCTGCGATAGCCACATTATTATAGAAACAATATCCACAATATTCAGATTTCATCGCGTGATGCCCAGGTGGTCTAAAATATAATGAAATTAAATACAATAAATAATTTTGAAGAAATTTGACAAATTTTATTGAAGAATCTAATATTCATTTTATTTATTAATTGATTTTTACCTGATAATAGCCATGCCGTTTTGTATATCACCCTTACAAATACTTTCTATCAAATTTATCGTTGAGCCGACAGCCAGTAAAGATAATTTAAAAGTGGACTGGAAAACAGTCAATTAATTCTTACTATTTTAATTATTTAAAATTATTATTTACAATTTACTTACTGGATTAACATATATAGCATCGTATTTAGAAGATAGTGTTTCTAATTTATCCAAATCCATAGATCCACTGGTCTCTTTTAAAATGTCTATTTGTTTTTGGGTATGCATTTGAAGTATATCATTTTCTGTACAAAATCTTGGTTGAATTAATTTGCACCTGTTTAATAATCCTAACTCATCACATCTTTCTAAGGTCCTTGTTAATCTTTCTGGACATTCTGGATAATTTTCATCCCACAAACATTTATGATCCTCCATAGAACGATCATAAACAATACCAGTTTCTTTACGCACAACAGCGTATGCATCTCTTATTTTTTGATAAATGTCATATACAAAATTAGTATTTGATTTTTTATTTTGTAATATTTTGCGTTGCGCTGCCTCTTGTTTAGCTGCCAATAAAGCGGCAGATGGTTGAGTCTATTCATAATAATAAATAAATGTTGCTAACATATATTGTATATTCATTGAACACATTAGAAAATTAATATTAAAATTAACCTTTACATTAGAGAGTTTAGGTGATTTCTTGATATTCTTTTTTTTAGTTGACGATTTCATATCTGTAGTATTCTTTTGACGATTCATAGTAGATTCCTCGATAACTTTGATAAGTTCAATTTCACTCTCTGCCAGTTGCCGCACAGCATCAAAAAAATTCCCTTCTAGTCCGGTTTGCGACTAATGATAATAATAATGATATAATTCATTTTAATAAATATTTACATTGCTATCTTACAAAGATGTAAATATGTAAAATATGTTAATTAATAAATTAAAATATATAAAAAGGGAAGAATTACAATTTATTATACATATACATTGTATTAAAAAAGAAATTAATGTAACAAAAGGGTTAACTAAATAAGAACAAAATTACTCGTATATTTTAAGTACAAAGCGAATAAAGAACTTTCATGCATATACAATCTTTCCAAAAATATGCGTAGAAGTATATATAGTCTATATGAAATAATAATAATTATTTCATTTTATTTCTTACCATTTGTTATCTTAAGTTATTCTTGACGATTGTTCAATTTATCTTATACACACTTAATTGCATACTTATGAAAATATTATCGATGATCATTCAAAAGATCTAACATTAACCGATATTTTTAATTATTCACAAATTTCTCGATTTTCTCATTTTTGTTTGTTTTTCTTGAAAACTTCATAAAACGTACAATTTATTTTCACTATTTTCACTATTTAAAAAGAATTGCATGCCTGAATTGCGGAGCTTTTTCTCCTCTAGGAACATCGATCGATTCTTACGAGATATCGATAACTTTCTTATTTTAATCTTAAAAAAAATAAATAACTTGGACATAAATTTAAACAAAATTATATTCTAATTATATCCTTTATAGAACGAACAAATATTTAATGTATGTAATCAAATATAATCTAAAATGAAAGCAAACGTATATAATAATATTAATTTGTACAAAGTCATAAATTGTAACCTCAAAGAAAGTACAAGAGTCATTCTATTATAACTTTTTACTAATTCATATTTATTTATTTTCTTTTTTTACGAATAATCGAATAAAATGATGCAAACATTGAACAAGCGTATTTTGAAGTATCTGAACGTGTATAGGCATGTAAATACATGGTCACCTTTGGCAACCGCATTTAATTCTATTAGGAAAATAGAACATGGATTAGATTTTTCCAAAAAGGAAACTGTATGTTCTATTTGATATTATAATAAGTCACGAATACGTTATTTAAATATATTACTACTATATTTTTTTGATATTATAGGGTTTGTTCGGTATACTCCAGCTCAAAGATGCCAATGGATTTCAAACGCTAAAAGATCAAGTGTTCGCTCAAACGGATTCGCTTATAGCCGAGGTCACTGATGTTAACAGAAAAAGAAATATGGTTGAAATATTTGATGAATTGTCTGACACCTTGTGCAAAGTTGCAGACTTGTCAGAATTCATTAGAATTGCACATCCGAATATAGAGTTTGTTGAAGCCGCAGAGGATACTTCCATATCGCTAAGTAGTGTAGTTGAAAAGTACTTTACTCTTCATTGTATCACTTAATTCATTAATAATTATAATTGATTTAATATCGTTTATGTTATTTCTTTAACAGACTTAATACTCACAGTGAATTATATGATGCATTGCAGCATGTTGTAAAGAACGGAGACATTTTTACAACTTCTCCCATCGACGATCACGTTGCTAAATTATTTTTGTTCGATTTTGAACAAAGCGGTATTCATTTGCCAGAAGAACAAAGGCAACAAGTTGTCATGTTAAACGATGATATCCTGCAAGTAAGCTTAATTTATATATTATATATATATATATATATATATATATATATATGTTTTTATTTAGTAAATAATTTATTATTATAGACAGGTCAAAAATTTATGGCTGGKGCTGTTAATGCACGCTCTGTAAAGGCTGATATTTTGCCAGAAAATATCAAGCAAAAGTGAGTTTAATGATATCTAATTTGTTTATATTTAAGATTAAAACAAAAAATGTATGAAAATATTTCTACTCTATGTTGCTACAATTATTTTACATTAACTCATTTTATCAGTTTTCAGATGGACAATGGTCAGATATTAATAAATGGACTTTATACAGATTCATCTGATACTATTGTTCGTGAGGCAGCTTACAAATTATTTTTATATCCTGATGAACAACAAGATTATTTATTGATCAAGCTTTTAAATTGTAGGCATCAATTGGCACAAACATGTGGATTTCCTACATACGCTCACAGGTAAGATTATTTAAAAATTTTGTATTAATCAATATTATATTTAATGCAAAATTTGTTGAGACGATTCAGCTATTATTTATTTCCACAGAGCTGTAAGAGGCAGTACAGTGCAAACACCCGAAGCAGTAAATGATTTTCTTAATATTTTGAATAATGACTTACGAAGTAAAGCGATGCAAGATTTCCAAGAAATGCAAACAATGAAAGATGCCGAGTCGTCTGTAAAACAAGTTCGCGTTTCTTTTTTTGAGAAAAAATGAATTTTGTAATTAATGACTATATATTATTTTGTACAAATTATTTCTATTTTATAGGATTTGATGCCATGGGATACAGCCTATTTTATGTCACTAGCTAAAAAGACGTGGTTAAATACTTCAAGTAATGAATTCGCTCCATATTTTTCTCTCGGTTCTTGTATGGATGGTTTAAATTATCTTGTGCAAGCATTATATGGAATACGACTAGAATCTGTACCAACCTTATCCGGTGAAGTTTGGGCACCAAATATACATAAATTAGCTGTGATCGACAAAGATGAAACTACATTGGGTTACATTTATTGCGATTTCTTTGAAAGAAAAGGAAAACCTAATCAAGATTGTCATTTTGCTATTAGAGGTGGAAAACAGTTATCAGATGGAACTTATCAGGTAAATTTGAAAGGATAAACAAAGTTATCCTTGTTAATTTATTTGAACGATTTGTAAATAACATTTACTTTCAGACTCCTATAGTTGTTATAATGTTATCTTTATCGCTGCCTCGATGGTCTAATCCATGTTTACTAAGTCCATCCTCGGTTGATAATTTATTTCATGAAATGGGACACGCATTACATTCTATGTTGGGCAGAACAAAATATCAACACGTAACGGGTACTAGATGCAGTACGGATTTTGCAGAAGTACCAAGCGTCTTAATGGAATACTTTGCAAGTGATTCACGAGTAAGCTTATATACAATTAAAGTTTTATTACAGTTAACCTTTAATAAAATATTCATTGATATTTTGTAATTAGGTACTATCCATGTTTGCTAAACATTATCAAACGAATGAACCAATTCCAGATAATTTGTTACAAAAGTTATGCGCTTCTAAACATATTTTTTGCGCATCCGAACTGCAAAATCAAGTATTTTATAGTATGTTGGATCACGTTTATCACAGCAACAAATTAAAAAGATCTACTACTGAAATTTTAAAAGATATTCAAGAAAAATATTATGGTTTACCATACATTGAAAATACGGTACGTATTAATCCTTAAAAATGTTGGAAAAGTTATCGCGAATTAAGTTATATATTACATATGATAATTATTTCTTTTTTTCTTCTTTAGGCATGGCAGTTGCGATTTTCTCATCTAGTAGGATACGGTGCCAAATATTATTCTTATTTAATATCGCGTGCAATAGCTTCTTGGATTTGGCAAACGTACTTTCAAAATGATCCCTTGAGTAGAGTTGCGGGTGAAAAGTATCGTTGGGAATGCTTAACGCACGGCGGTGGTAAACCTCCATCATTGTTAGTTTCTGATTTCTTACACAAAACCGCTAGCCCTAGTAATTTTGCTAATTCTTTACTAAATGAAATTGATATAAGAAATGAATATGTTAAAACAATTAAAAAATTAAAATAATTCATTTAATAATCAAAATATCATTTCCGAAAGAATAGCGTTTATTCAACAAAATTCTTTGATTTAAAAATGATTGAGTGTTAACAGTAACGTACTTTAAAGTTTTCAAAAATTTCCTTTTGTTCTTTCTTTCTTTTTAAGATAATTTATAGTTGATTATAAATAAAAATTATATATACAAGCAACGATAAATAATTATCAGAAATTTCTATTTATAACTTCATATACAAATATCCAATATATTCTTAATTGTCTAAATTAAAGAATAAAAAAGTTATATATACGAATTATTGAATTATTTTTTAATTATACTACAAAATGGTATTTTTATATTTATTGCTGTGTAATTTGAATACAAAAAATAAAAAAAATTTATTAATTAATAAGTTATTCCTTTTGTCGTGTTGTGATTAACATAAAAAAATTTCGTTTACGAGCATATTCATTTTCTAGTTTGTGCAGCAAAATAAAAGAGTTACCATCCCTAGGACACACAGATACCCCCCCCCCCACCTCACCCCATCTATAATTTATTATATATTAATATTTATATTTTTTTTAATTATTATCATTACCTTTTCCTCTATATAATACAAAGAAATTATTGTTATCTATACTTGTGTGTTAACTCTCTCTAGAATAAAAAAAACAAATATCGGTTACAAAAGTTCTTTCTTAAAAAATATGATAAATATCTCGATTAATTGATGAAATATAATAAAAAATAATTCGATTTAGGTAGGTAATAGTATATGTGTGACGATGTAAGGCACCAGAAATCGAATCTATCGTAAAATGAAGAAAGACAAAAAGGTAAAGGAGAAAAGCAAGTATATAATAACATGAAACACTGTAGATATTGGTGAAGACGTTAAAGAGTATATCTTGAAAATGCACTTCTCTCGTTTTAAAGTAATATATATACACGTATATAACTCACGTTTGCACGCGCACGCGCACACATATATACAAGACGCTTTTATAATAAAATAAAGGATACTTTCGTCGATTCTATATATATATATTATTTTCATTATTATTATTATTATTATTATTATTATTATTATTATTATTATTAATATGATTAATTGGGTAGGATTTTTTTCAAGCTTTCTCAATTTCAGCTAATTTATTGGCAAGACGAAAATCAAATTCTCATTAAAATTT